GCTTATTTTTGGGGGGCTTATTATAGCGCATGCGCTCGAAAGCCCAATTGGGTTTATTATCTGGACATGTCTTATTTTTGGGGAAACACAGTAATAAACACAAAACTCTTCTGCAAATTATTTTCCTCTCTTTTAAAGGGTGCTATGGTGGCCTCTAATGACAGTGAATTCCATAATTAAAATATATTTCATAAGGAATCAGGAAACACCTTTTCCAACTAAGGTATTTTATTAAAAGTAATTGCAGCTTCTAGGAGCAGCAGCTCTATGCAATATATCAAATGTCCCGAGTGTATAATCTGATGCAGAATGTATTATGTATTACATTTATATGCTCCCCCATCTCACAGTTTGAGACAGTCTGGGCAGTTTATTTAATTTACAATTTAACTTGGATTAAGGGAAAAAGTGGAGGAAAAATATATTTAGACAGTTGGAGGCTGTTACCACATTGCTGTGAATCCATTTCACTGGATTAATCTTGGTTAACCAAAGGAAAAGCAGGGTAAAAAATTCCATCCGTATTTTCCACATTATTAATGTAACTTTACAGAATAACAGAACAGAATAAAAGAGTTGGAAGGGGCCTTGGAGGTCTTCTAATCTGTCGTGGAGGAAATAAATCAATGTACCGTAAACCTGCTTGGGAAACCCTATACTATTTCAGACAAATGGTGCCCAATCTCTTCTTTAAAACTTCCAGTGTTGGAGCATTCACAACTTCTGGAGGCAAGACTTTCCATTGATTAATTATTCCAACTGTCAGGAAATTTCTCCTTAGTTCTAAGTTGGATAAATTTCCGGACAGTTAGAACAATTAATCAGTAGAACATAACTATATTTCTATGTGAACAGGGTACTCTTTTTCTTCTCTTTGGCCTAAAAAGCTTCTGGTCTTTCAATGGTAGGGCAGGTGCTCCACCTTTTGGCCCAAAGATCGCAATCACTCTGCAGGCAGCCTCACCTGACGAAGGTAGAGCTTCAGCACGTTGCTGATGTCATGGGGTGAGGCCTGAGACAGCTCAACCAGCTCTTTCCCATTCTCAAAAGCCTGACAGAGCTTCTCCACGCGGGATTTCACTCCATTAACACGGTAGATGCCCTAAGGAAGACAGAAAGGAGTATCGATCGGACAAAATGTTGCCATCTTGATTTTTTTTTTACCTAATCCCTCCTCCCGATATTCTTGTTTCTGTTGTGGCCCGCCAGCGGCCTGCACGGATTGTGGCTGATCCCAACGACAAGGAGGCTGGTGTGGTGTTGCGCCAGCACCCTGTGCAGCCGGCGCTCGCGTCGGACAGCAAGGAGGCCGAAGAGGATGTGATGCCAGAGGCAGAGACTCAGCCAGGGCCTTCAGAACCTCCAGAGGCTCCTTCCAGTGGAGAGAGCGAAGTGGAGGAGCCTCTCCTCAATGCTCGAGTACGCAGGGCTGCCAAAAGGCAAGAGTGGCTACTCAGAAGGAGGAGGTCTCCTTGAGAGTAAGACTTGAGGATAATTGGCCGCTCCCTTAGCCTATTTAAGTCACACACCGTTAGTAAGTTTCTTGCTGGAAACAACTTGTAATTATCATCAAAGCATTTTTGGAAAAGTCTTATCGTATCTTGTTTTCTGGGCTGGTTGCCAACCTTTGCCGGACTTTGGTTTATTCTTGCTACTTAATAAATTTGATAAGGACTGTTGGTGTGTGTCAATATCCTCGGGAATCCAGAGCTGGGGGAGAACAGTTTCAGGGATGCCCAGGAAGTAGATAGACAAAGTGAAGCACAGTAATTATAATGGTGTGATTGAAGCTCTGCCTATTTTTTATGTGGGTCCCACAGAGTTTCGATCCCTCTGCCACCTTGAAAGAAAATATTGCAACCACGCCAAGCTTTGCAACAGAAATGTGCAACCATTTTACAGGGGTTGCATGCCAAAAGTGGACAGGAACCGAGCAAAAAGTAACTTTGCTTCCCTTTAATTAAATAGCTCATAGAATTATTTCCCAGGCAGTCTTCCTTTCTATCACTTGACAAATCACAGTTAAACACAGCTTGTTTTCACTCTCTTTAGCACATCTATTGGAGGCCTCACAGCAGGGTTTCCTAATCTTGGCCACTTTAAGAGATGTGGCCTTCAACTCCCAAAACCTATGGCTGGCTGGGGAATTCTGGGAGTTGAAGTCCATGCCTCTTAAAGTGACCAAGTTGGGAAAAACCCAGTTTATAGCAAAACAAAGCACAACCATTACAGTGATTTTTGCTGTGAAATTTTGGTTGGTTTTTGACTACCCCAGTCTTCGAAGATCAGGGCTCAGCAACTTAACCATTAGGACAGCGTTGAAATGCACTTACCTTCGCTACCGGTTCGGAAATGTGAGTGTGCGAGCCTCTTCTGCGCATGTGTAGGGTCTTCTGCGCATGCGCAGAGGGTCAAAAACGGACATAATGATGTCCCGGTGGGTAGATGGAGCCTCCCGCCTCCAGCCCTACCGGTTCGCGCAAGCCGGATAGATCCGGCCAGATTTCACCACTGCATTAGGATCAGTGGTGGGATTCAAGTAATTTAACAACTGGTTCTCTGCCCTAATGATTTCTACCAACAACTAGTTTGCCAAACTGCTCAGAAAGTTAACAACCGGTTCTCCCGAAGTGGTGCGAACCGGCTGAATCCCACCACTGATTAGGATTGCTAGCTTGATGGCACAATTCCCAGGCTCTGGGGCAGAGGAATGTCTCCCCCTCTGTAAATAAATTTCTTTCATTACAGGTGCTCCACCTCTTACTTTTGTTTTCATGGCCCGCCTTTCGATCTCGTTGATGCACTTCTTGACGATGAAGGGGACGCCATCAGAGCCGGTGTGGGAAGCTTGAGCAAAGTCTCGCCCAAAGAGCTGCAGTTTGCCTTGAAGCTTCTTGTGTCCGCACTGAATGGCCAGGGTCTCCAGGCATTTCTTGTGGCAGGCTAAGTAACACTGGAGAAGAGGAGGGTGGAAGTGAAACAGCTGTACAGTTAGGGAGTTTGTGCAGTTCCAGAAAGAGCCACTGGGTGGTAATATGTCATTAACAAGAGGGGTTGCTTTTTTTAGGTAGCATTTCTCAAGGCAGGTTGGGGAATTGTGGAAGTTGGAAGTCCATCCAGCTGAGATTGAGAAACACTGTAATACAGGTAGTCCTTGACTTTCAACCAGGGTGAAATGTAAAATCTGTTACTACTGGTTCTGTGGGTGTGGCTTGGGGGGGGGGTAATGTGACTGGGTGGGTGTGGCCAACTTTTTTTAAAAAAAACTTTTCAAAGCATTTTTCTAATGCTTTGAAAAGCCTCTCTGCCAATCAGGGAACTCAGCTGGGATCGTCAGAGACTTTTCAAAGCATTTTTTTTACCACCTCTTCAGCCAAGAGGTTGCAGAAAAAAATGCTTTGAAAAGCCTCTGATGATCCCAGCTGAGCCGCGCAATCATCAGAGGCTTTTTTTTTTACTTTTAAAATCATTTTTTCATCGGAAGAGGTTGTAGAAAAAATGCTTTTAAAAGTAAAAAAAAAAAAAGCCTCTGATGATCGTGCGACTCAGCTGGGCATGGTGTGTGTGGGGGGGGCAGGGATTTTTGCTACCCGGTTCTCCGAACCACCCGCTGCCATTGCTACCAGATTGGGCGATCCGGTCCGAACCGGGAGCATTTCACCCCTGGTTTCAACCATTTGTCTAGTGATCGTTCAAAGTTTCAATGGCACCAGAGGTGGTATTCAGCAGGTTCTGACCAGTTCTGGAGAACCGGGAGCAGAAATTTTGAGTAGTTCAGAGAACTACCACCTCTGAGTGGCCCTGCCCCCATCTATTCTCTGCCTCCCGAGTCCCAGCTGATTGGGAGGAAATGGAGATTTTACAGTATCCTTCCCCTGCCACACCCACTAAGCCAAGCCAAGCCACGCCCACAGAACCAGTAGTAAAAAAAATTAAATCCCACCACTGAATGGCACTGAAAAAAGTAACACTTATGACTCTTGCAGCATCCCATGATCAAAATTTGGACACTTGGCAACTGGCATGAATTTATGACGGTTGCAGTGTCCCAGGGTCATATGATCACCTTTTGTGAAAGCCAGATTAAGTTTACAACGGTGTTACTAACTTAACAACCGCAGTGATTCACTTAACAAATGTGGCAAAAAAAGGTTGTAAAATGGGACAAGGTTCACTTAACAACTGCCTTGCTCAGCAACAGAAATTTTGCTCACTATGCTACAGTATAGTGTAAAGTTTTATATGCACTGAGGAATCAAAAAAATTATGTGACTTGCTTTATTGCAATATTTGCTTTAGGGCAATGGTCTGGAATCAAATTTGTAATACAGATAGTCCTTGACTTACGTTCACAATTGAGCACAAAATTTCTACTGCCAAGTGAGACAGTTGTTAAATGAATTTTCCCCCATTTTACTCTTTCTTGCCACAATTGTTAAAGTGAATTGCTGCAGTTTTTAAATTAGGAACATGGTTGTTATGTGAATCTGGCTATCCCCCCATTAACTTTGCTTGCCAGAAGGTCACAAAAGGTGATCACATGACCACTGTCATAAATGTGAGTCAGCTGCCAAGTGACTGAATTTGATCACGTGACCATGGAGATGCTACAACGGTCATAAGGACTCCCTGAGTCCTTTGGGAGAACGGCGGCATATAAATCCAATAAATAAATGATCATAAGTGTGAAAAATGGTCATAAGTCGAGGACTACCTGTATTTCTGAGGCGTGCCTATACTTTTTGTACTGCCTCCCCTTTGCCCGTCCTACCTCTTCACATTCAGCTCCCTGGAAGTAAACGTAGCTGTTGCACTCCCGGCATTTCGAGGGTGTCCGCAGTTTCCTCAGCCGGTGGGTTTGGGCAGCCCTGGACAAGCTGATATGCCGGAAAGGGCCGGTGGGCGTAGAGATTCCTGGAGTCATTTCATTAATACCTGGTAACCAGAAATTTTTTTTAAAAAGGCAAAGACTGAAACACCAACCAAATCTGCAGTTTATTATTAGATTTATTGTTAAATATTTTTATCCTGCCTTTATTATTATTTTTTCATAAATAGCTTAAGTTGGCAAACATACCCAATGCTCCTTTCTCGTCCAATTTTCCCTACAATAGCAACAACCCTTTGAGGTGGATCAGGCTGAAAGAGAGTGACTGGCCCCAAATCACCCAGTTGGCTTTCATCTGTAAGGTGGGACTAGAACTCACAGTCGCCTGGTTTCTAGGTAAACACCTTAAGCACTACACCAAACTGGCTCAGTTGCATCTCTCAGTCTTGGCAACTTGAAAACAGGTGAACCTCTTCTCCCAGAATTCCCCAGCCACCCATGGAGAAGGTCCTTTCCCACTCTATGATCCTATGCATACGGTAACACGGCATCAAAGTTGCTTTTTGTTCCGTTTCCTTTCTTTTTATCTGATTACACGAATCTGGAGGGGGAGGGGCCAAATGAACTAAAAATTACAGTTGTATACAACGCACAACATTCCAGGACAAAATGTAGAACCATAAAAACAAAAGGAAATGTAGGATTTAGGCTTTCTCCCCCCCGCCCTGACCCTTGGAAGAAAAACAGAGGACCCGCCAACTCCATCCCAGTGTTTCTCAATCTTAGCAACTTTGTAAGTTGGGTGAACTGGAAGTTGAAGTCCACCAATCTTAAAAGTTGCTAAGATTGAGAAACACTGCTCCAGCTTCTAGTTGTGGATCTTATGCCCATTTTACTGATTTTCCCCTTAAGTCCCTCCTCCACCAGCAGGGGTCTCCAACCTTGACAACTTTATGACTTGTGCACTGGCTGAAGAATTCTGGGAGTTGAAGTCCATAAGTTTAAAGTTGCCAAGGTTGGAGATCCCTGCTCTACAGGGAGGAATTTTACCACTAGTTTGTATTGTTCCATTACAGAGGTGCTATTCAGCAAGTTCTGACCAGTTCTGGAGAACCGGTAGTGGAAATTTTGAGTAGTTCAGAGAACCAGTAAATACCACCTCTGACTGGCCCTGCCCCCATCTATTCTCTGCCTCCCGAGTCCCAGCTGATCAGGAGGAAATGGGGATTTTGCAGTATCCTTCCCCTGGAGTGGAGTGGGAATGGAGATTTTACAGTATCCTTCCCCAGCCACGCCCACCAAGCCATGCCACGCCCACCAAGCCATGCCACACCCACAGAACCGGTAGTAAAAAAATTTGAATCCCACCACTGTTCCACTAATACATACTCTGTTCAAAGGAAGGTGAATTCTCATCAGGATCATCTTTAGGGGACAGCGATCCATTTGAAGGCATCTGAGGAAACTCACCTAACCAAGAGAAAGCCTCAGTTTTAGATATTATCAAATTAGATCCCAGACAGCAGAATAAGGAAACCATAAAGATGTCAAAATCAGTCCTATCTAGGGGTCAACACGTGGCACAGGGGGAAAAAAAGGGAGAGCTTGACCATCATACCACAGTGTGTGGTTTCTGGATCACACCTTGCAAGAATTCCACCCCCCCCATCCCCACCCCAAATATTCAAGCTTGGGCTTTTGAGATTTGCCATAAGGAAAACTCCATAGTCTGGAAAAATCTTGGGAGTTTTGGAAGACCCAGAAAGTTGAAATATGTAGAATCTGGCTGAATTTCCAGATTTTGTCTCAACCACAAAACTTATTGGTGGTTTTAGGTCAAATGCCCTCTTTTGAGTGTAGCCTACCTTCAACTCAAAATGTCTTCTTGAGTGATTGAAGGGTAGAAACCAGTGGTGGGTTCCTCCTGGTTCGGTCCGGTTCATCCAAGCCGGTAGCGTTGACGATCTGACGTCACCGAACCGGTTCTCCCCCCGCCCTCCCACTCCCCACCCACCCCACGTTATTCTTACTTTTTATTTGGTCCCACCCCCAATCTATTGCTGCCTCCTGAGTCCCAGCTGATGACTAGAGGGAAAAAAACTGTTTAAATTCTTGCTGTGGGGCTTCAAAGGGCCGTCCTACAGCTGATCAGTGTTAAAAGCAAACAAATGAGTTGGGTCGTAAGTGCGAGGACTGGTCGTAAGTGCGAGGACCTTCCAGAAATGACTCTGACCAGCTAGCCATGCCTACCTAGTCACATGACCTCCAAGCCACACCCACAAAATAAGCCACGCCCACAGAACCGGTAGTAAAAAAAATTAGAACCCACCCCTGGTAGAAACCAGGGGTGGGTTGCCCCCGGTTCGCACCGGTTCTATGGAACCGGTAGTAAAACTGGCGGGAGGCTCCGCCCATCAACCCCGATGTCATCCAAATGCTTCTGCGCATGCGCAGAAGAGCGCACACGTGGCCCCGCTGCGAACTGCTGGTAAAGGTAAGTAGAACCCACCCCTGGTAGAAACAAGTTGTTTTACTAAAGCTCCCTGAATTTAATGACTCTTTCAATAGCGGCCAATGTGGGAGCGGGTGCATTGATCAAATATAAATTGAATGAATGAATGAATAAGAAGGAACGAATATATTGATGCAGGTACATAAGGGCATCTTATTAGATTCTTTTCAGCTCAGATCCTAATGGAACTTGCACAATCCATAGGTCAGAAGAGGGGAAGATACCTGGGCTTGTGGTAGGGGATTCCAGACTGTCCTTGGTCTCTGTGATGGCTGTTGGCCATGATTTGTGTGCCTGGTGACCTCGCCCACCTAAGGAGCCAATGACAAGGCAGATTTCATTCCTGCATGCGGAGAGTCAGACAAGAGGTTGGGCCTTTGCAATGCTGACCGGCTCTTTGAAACAGGAAAAGCATCTCCCAGTCAGGCACTTTGCCAATATAGCTGGGTCTCGGTTAGTGCAGCTAGAGAATCTCATGAAGGGGTTGCATTATTTTGACCCGCACTACAGATCGTCCTCGGCTTATGACCACAATTGAGCCCAACATTTCCATTGCTAAGCAAGGCAATTCTTAAGTGAGTTTTGCCCCATTTGCCACAGTTAAGCAAATCGCTGCGGTTGTTAAGAGAATTTGCAGTCGTTAAGCGAATTTGGCTTCTCACCTAACAACCAGCTTGTTTATAGTCATGGAAATTCTGGTCGCAACTGTGGTCGTAGGTTGAGGACTACCTGAGCCTTCCTTTCAAGCAGCTTCTATTGCTTCTGACTACTTCTGAGATCAGGCAAGAGCTTTCTCCAGTAATGAGTGATAATGAATCTTTGAGTCAGAGGGAAACCCCCAGCGTGAAATTACTTGTTCCTGTTGCAGATCCCGTTTCTGTGTCCACAGTCTCCGTTTCTAGTCACTGCTGGTCTCTGAGTTTCTTCCAGGTGACCAAAAGTAACAGATGTTCCTTGCCTGGAGCTGGAGAGTAATGCTGGCAGAATAAGATATGGGAGGAATACTATTCGAATCCTGGAATAGCTAAAGATAATCTAAACCAGGCTCAGTCATGAATAGAATAACAGAGTTGGAAGGGACCTTGGAGGTCTTCTAGTCCAACCCCTTGCTTAGGCAGGAAACCCTACACCACTTTAGGCACATGGTTATCCAACATCTTCTTAAAAAATTCCAGTGTTGGAGCATTCACAACTTCTGGAAGCAAGTTGTTCCACTGATTAATTGTTCTAACTGTCAGGAAATTTCTCCTTAGTTCTAGGTTGCTTCTCTCCTTGATTAGTTTCCACCCATTGCTTCTTATTCCACCCTCAGGTGCTTTGGAGAATAGTGTGACCCCCTCTTCTTTGTGGCCGCCCCTGAGATATCAGAACACTGCTATCATGTCACCCCATGAGCTGGGGACAAGTTGACGGTGATCTCATGGGGACCTGGCTGAAAAAAAGATGCTGCCAGATCACATTTGTGCTGTGGTTAGATCCTAAAAGGGAGCCTGGCCACATAACAGCAGGAGCTGCTTTGAGAAGAGGTTTAGCTACCTGTGTCTATCTCCTTCCAAGCAACTTATGCAGAGACACAGGAGGGCCAGTTACAACCCTTTGAAGATGTCTATGGAGATTCTCAGTCATCCAAGTCATGGTTGTCCCACAGCTCCTTTTTCAAAACGCAACTGGACTTTCTTTGTTTTTGACCCAGAACAACAACAAAAACCAAGAAAGTCCAGTTGCCTTTTGAAAAAGCACCTTCGGGGCAACCTTTTGAAGACATATATTTTTAAAAACACGGAGCACGTACATTAAATAAATAAATGCATACGTATAGGAACCGAGTTCTTTTCTTTCTTTCTTTTAAATTTGCAGGATGAAATGAGGAATGGGCCTCAAGACTTAAAAAAAGGTTTGCAGCCATGTGTCTGGGGAAATGTGGACAGAAGATTGGATTATTTATATTGATATTGTTTCCTGATTGCTTATTTGTACCCTATGACTATCATTAAGTGTTGTACCATATGATTCTTGACGAATGTATCTTGTCTTTTTATGTACACTGAGAGCATATGCACCAAAGACAAATTCCTTGTGTGTCCAATCACACTCGGCCAATAAAGAATTCTAATCTATTCTATTATCATTAGAAGATCTTCAAGATCCTTTCTGAGCCTACAGTTCTAAGACATGGGAACGCTGCAGTGGTCTGTCTAATGCAGCCTCCGATGTTTAGGACCAAATTTACAAATACCTCTTGCAGGGCATGAAGGAGCCCAGTGTTTCTTCCTAGTATCTCTGCCTACCATCTGTTTTTTAAAACTATCTGAGACATATGTCTTTTGAAAGCCTTTCCCACAAATGAATCGTGACCCCCCATCCCAAAGTAGTTTGAATCAAGCAGCATTTAAGTAAATCAATAAATGCAGTAAATAAATAAATGCAGCAAATAAATAAATGCAGCAAATAAATAAATGCAGCAAATAAATAAAGCACATACATACATACATACATACATACATACATACGTACGTACATACATACATACAAAACCAGAACCTATTGTTTTTACAGAAACTCTAGAAGATATGCTAGCCTATGAAGAAACTACATTGTATATATTTCTAATCTCATGAGCTAGGATGAAGTTTGAGAATTATACGTAGGAAGGCCTCTGCTATACTAGAAACCGGTCTTAACCAGAATTTATTGATATGTTAGTTACTCTAGAAACAACCCCTAGGAATTAGGACCATAAAAGGTAATTTGTGGGGGGGTGATAGAAGTAGAGTAATGGGAGATGATATCAGTGGCGGAGATAATGTATTCACTTTTAGGTGCTTCGGATAGGTTGTAATGGCATGAGTACTAAACCAATTTGGAAAAGGGGTAAATTTGCAACTTCAATAGGGAATATAAAGAAAACATAGTGATGATTTAAGGCAGGGATCTCCAACCCTGGCAACTTTAAGCCTGGTGGACTTCAACTCCCAGAATTCCCCAGCCAGCTGGCTGGGGAATTCTGGGAGTTGAAGTCCACCAGGCTTAAAGTTGCCAAGGTTGGAGACCCCTGATTTAAGGTATGTCCACTGTACCTGCGTGGGCATGGTGCACCCTCTTTGCAAAATAGTAAATAAAAGTACCATTGTTTTCTCTTCGGAGTTTTGGCTGGTGGTGATTGTTTATTTCAAAACTAGGCAACGAATCCCACACACACACATACATACATACATACATGTTTTGCATTTGGGAGCAAATTCATACCAAATTTACTGAAAATTCTGCAAGGGAGGAATCAGAATGGTATACCTGGAAGCCAAGTCCTGCTGGAGATGTTATCCATGCTACAAAATCAAGGGGTCATACAGTATACGGGTGGGAAGGGCACAGAAATCCCGCTTCCGCAGAAAAGTTAGGCTGTCTCCTCACCTCGTTTTTCAAGCTGGGTGGGCCGGTTCTGAGGATCTCGACCTGCGGCTGTGTCACCCTCGGAGGCTGCTCCATCTTTACTGGAGGTGTCAGAGCTACTCGTTCCTGTGAATTCACTAATACTGCAGCTGCCTTTTCTTGCCCGAGTCATCGGAGAGCTGTCGAAGAGGGAATATTTCTACAAGTTTGTCACTACGTTCAAACTCCTGTATCTTCCTCATTTAATCTTTCCTTACCCTTTGTACCTCTCTTCTAACCATTCATACCATTTATTCCATACCACGTAGTACTCTGTTTGTCTCTCATCTTGTATTTCTTTTGTGAGTTTATCCATCTCTGCGCACTCTAAAACTTTTCTTATCACGTTTTGCTCTGAGGGTATATCGTTATTCTTCCAATTTTGTGCATATGTTATTCTCGTTGCTGCTGTGATATGTATAATTAAATATTGTATTTTTTTGTCATAACAAACTTGTAGAAATGGAAATGACACATGATGCATGATTGTAATTTAGTACCCTGATATATTAATATGTATAAATAAATAATAGAACTATATGTATAGATAAGGGTAAATTGAAGTAAGGGAGCAAAATGGATATATAAGATATGAATACTGATGTGGAAATGTTATAAAGAAGAAAATTGTAAAAAAAAATTGTTTTAAAAAATTGTTTAATAAAAATTATTTTAAAAAAAGAAAAGAAGAGGGAATACAGGTAGTCCTCAACTTATGACCGGTCACTTAACAACCGTTCAAAGTTACACTGGACACCCTCCCCCCCCCAAAAGGGAACCTGGAACCCAGATTTAAAGTTCTGATGGCTGCCTGCCCCAGGTTCATGTGACCGCATCTTTGATAAGTGGTGATTGGTCTGCATTCATGGCTTGTTTGCAGTGCCTTATGGTCACATGATCACCAATTTCAATAGTTTGTGCTGGAAACTGGATTTACTTCCTGTTTCCAACAAAAAAGACCCCACCCATTGTAGATACAGGTAGTCCTTGACTTATAACCATTAGTTTTGTCACCATTCAAAATTCCAATGGAACAGAAAAATGTGACTTATGACCAGCATCCTCATGGTCACAGGATCAAAATTTGGGCACTTGGCAACTGGCATGTACGTATTTAGGAGAGTTGCATTGTCCCGAGGTCATGTGATCATCATTCGTAACTTTCCCAGTGGGTTTCCAACAAGCAACGTCAATGGGGAAAGCCAGATTCGCTTAACAACTGCACAATTCATTTAACAACTGCAACGATTCACTTAATCGTGAGATAAAGGCTGCAAAATGGGGCAATACTCAGTAACTGCCTCGCTTAGCAACAGAAATTTTATGCTCAACTCTGATCATAAGTCGAGGACTGCCTGTATGCTTAACAACCAGTGTTAATTTAAGGACTACTGCATTTGCTTTATGACCACTGTGTTTGCTTAATGGCCGCATCAAAAAATGCTGTAAAATTGGGTTGATCACATGGGTGCCTCAGCTAATGACAGTCATGACATACAATGGAAATTCTACGTGTCGTTACTGTCATAAATCGAGAATATCTGTATTGCAAAAGAACTGAACGGAAGTAAAGATAATCCCTTGATAAGACATCCCATCAATCCAGCTTTAGCAAACCCATCTATTAGCAACCATTCTCAGTGAATGACTCCCCCTTTGAGGTCAGAACAATAAATTTCATGTGGCCAGGACAAAACCTTTGAGTCAGTTCAAGTTAAAACTCTAGAAACACAGTTAATATATCTATAGGGACCGTATGTCCTTTATTACAAGGAACAATCCCTTATTTCAGAAAGCAGCCCTTTAGATTAATTTAATTTTTCAAAAATTCACTTTTGCCCTTTGTTTTGGTCATTCAACTTTTTACTGTAGAAATGGCAGTCTTTCACATTCATGTGAAAAAATACGAAAACTGAATTATCGTTCTATTTACATATCCTGATTGATTGTAGATATTTTTATTAGAATATGCATCTAGGTAAAGCCGTTGAATTTTCCTTTGTTAAGCAAAGTTATAAATAATGACATTTTATAAATCCCTATGAATCTCTTTCAGATTTGCCCCTTTCTCAAATTGGTCCTTTATTTTTTCCCCCCAAAAAAATATGGGCATTGTAATTATAGCCCATATGAAGCAATCATTTACAATTTCTACCATATTAAATATTATTAATACCTTAGCAATTTTTGTAAAGGCCCTGGGAGCTATACCAGCCCCTGGTCCATGTCTATATGCTATACAGGAATAATTTGGGGGGGGGGGGGTAGGAAGCAGTCCTGATTTCAGAGAGGTTGGTTGGCAAACAGTTTGAAGGGATAACTCCAATTCCCATAACCCTTTGGGGATGCCATTTGGAATTCTGGAAGTTGTGCTTCCAACACCTCTGGGTGTTGAAAGGCTGTTCAAAACAGAGGCCACCAGGACGTATTAGGATTTGTCCTAATGACAAATGACCATTCGCATTAGTGCCAAACCCTACCAATTGTTGGTTGACACGTAGGGCTCAAAATCATACTGTGTCTCAGGTTCGTCTCCCCGCTGCAACCGCTTGACGTGAGAGGCATACTGTTGCCCGGGATCATAGAGTTTGCTGCTCTCGCACAATGTCTGAAAATAGACAGGCAGTGGGGCTGTCTGCATGTGCATGATTTGATAGAAGGAAATGGTAGCCTGGAATCCGGAAGTCAAAGAAAACAGGAGAAACATGTTAGAGAAAAGGATGAAATATATGAATGAAGTCATGGGGAAAACCTATCTATGTAGTTGCTAAAAGTCAACCCCAACTTATATATTATCAGTCATCAATAGGAGTAAAACATCTCCAGTGTGGGCATCACAAGACCAAAACCCACAAAAAACCCACTACCAGAATTCTGCACAAAAACTTTTGTGACAATCTTAGCTCCCACTTGGACACAAACTAAGTTTCTAGTTCTGATGGCAACAAACGTGTCTGCCACCAAGTCATAGCCCCATAGAAAGCAGAACTCCGAGGCAGGCAGATTCCTCAAAGAAGAGTTTTATTGGAAATATCATATTGGCACAAACTGGTGAAAACCGACTCTGAAAGTTCCCGCGGTTTTCACCTAATAAAAAAGTGAAAGTTTCCCCTTTCCCCAAACCATCAGTCACATTGTCCAATCAAGGTGCTGGCCGGTTGCTTGGTTATTTCACCCCTCCTTCCTCCAGCCACCTGTTGGAATGTCCTAGGTTCCCATAGGAAACTATTTTGTTTTGGCTACACCCCCCCCCCCCAACTAACTATGTTCCCCCTCTCTACCCGTTCTTTGCATTCTGGCAACCCTGAGCCTCCAAAATGGCCCCAGCCAGGTTCACTTCAGAGTTGACAGTGTCCTTCAAAGAACACGGCTCAGAGTGAGCTTGCTTGCATCTTCTTCTTAAGGACCAAAGGACTGAACCATGTCGGTGGGATGGCCCAGCCAAACTCACCGACTTTATGACTTGGTCGCTCTGCTTGACCACCTCATGGAGTTGCCGAAGCGCTGTTACTTTGGTGTCCTCCAACTCCTGCTTCTGGGTGTTGGCATCTGCGATGCAGGTCCGGTATGTTGCCATGGCTTCTTCGGCCTGAATTGGCAGAGAGGCAGAATCAGCAAAGGACACGGAAAACGGCTAACAAAGATAGATGGATTCAGCATTAAACTCCCCCACAAGGACATAATTT